TTTAGAATTATTTTTATTTTTCTTATTTTTTTTCTTTAAAGTTTTTAAATATTTTTTATATTGGAAAATTTTACGTGCTATTTTTTGTGCCGCCAACTCTTGTTTTCGTAACTTATTTTTTTGATCGCTATACTTGAATAGAAATGTGGGTGTCATTAAAAACTGATTGGTTAATAAATTACTTGTATATTTAACTTTTTGTTTTTTAAACTTCGTTAATGGACTATTCATTATAATTGGTGTCACCCTTTTATATCGTAATTGTTGTCGTTTTAATCGTATATATCGTGTTAAATAATTTTGAAAATCTACTTGTATTTTGGAACTATTTAGTTTACCATCTAAGGAATAAAAATATGAATTATCTTTTTTTCGACTTTTTGCTGATCTATAGATTGTATTACTTAAGAATCTTAAAAATAATTCACTAGGTCGTTTTTTTCGAACACTTTTAATATGTACTTGAAATGCAGAATTTATTTTTTTTTCTGTTTTTGTTGTTTTTTTAAATTTATAATCTGTTACTTGCATCGTTTGCTCTTCGTCTATTATTTTTTTTATATTTATCATTTATTGTTTTCCTTCTTTTTCTTTTATATTTCTTGCATATTTATGTGGAAATCTATGTCTAAATTTTCTCACTTTTTTTCTCATTTTTTTTTTCTTTCTTTTTATTTTTAATCGTAAATAATGTTTTTTCCATAATTCATTTTGTTTTAATATACCTACTATTTCTTTTCTTTTTAATTGTGTTACTCTATTTTTATATTTATCTGATTCCGCTTTATTTTCATATCTATCTATTACCATATCTACTATATTTTCTGGATTCAGTACCGCCTTTTTCTCTCGCAATTGAATTCCTCCTGTTTGACTTTTTCTAATCGTTTCTATATATTTTTTTTTATTCACATATTTTAGGTCATGATTCCCTTTTCCTTTTGCAAATAAATAGTTATTTGCAAGTCTTGCTTGGGTTTTAAAGTATAATGAATCTATATAATGATATTCTTTTGGATATTTAAAATTCGCTACTAATTTGGTAAATTTAAATATTTTTAATTTAAATATTTTTTTTAATAATTTTTTTGAATATAAATTTTTATAATTCTCATTTGCTACCTCAATTGTTGTTAATGGTATCCGATCCGTTACTTTATTTGATTCAAATGTATTATCTTTATAAATATAGATTCTTTCTTGTTGTTGTCCTTTTTTTCTAATATCTCTTGCTAGACTATAATTTACATGTTCCATTCTTGTCGGTTTTATAATACTACTTACATTTAAAGCCATTGATCTACTTAAATCACCTAAGGTTGGTACATACCCTTCTTGTTGCCCTATTATTCCTGGTGTCTTAAATGTTACAGGCGTTGTTAAGTACATTTGTGTTAATCCTTTTTGTTCTCTTATTTTTTGTGCTAATTGTCGTTTTAAAATTCTCACTTTTTTTAATTTTTTTCTTTGTTTTGCCTTCTGTATTTTGTGCATACTTCTTTTATATCGTAATCTATATCGTTTTTGTAGTTCTCTATCGAAAAAAAATAAATTTAATTGAAATGTTTTATTAAATCGGGTTATCGTTAAATGACTATATTTTATTATCCAATGATTTAATAATGAGGTTTTTCCAAATTTTCGTTTTTTTTTCGATTTTCGAGCTCGTCTTCTATTTTTTACTTTTAATTGGATTTTTTTTATTTTTCCAACGACTTTTTTGTATACTCGTTTATAAAAAAAATTCCGTGTAAAATTATATATTAAAAAATCTTCATTTGCGATTTTACTTCTTTCATTTTTTTTTCTTTTAAACCCCGATGATACCCATGGAACTATGTTTCCTAATCTATAAATATTTGGATTCACTATATGTCCCATTTATTTCTTTTTTGATTTTCCTGAGGCTTTATATTTTTCCACTTTTTTTGTTAACGCATATTCTCCTAATTTTCTTCCGAAACTTTTTTCTGTTATTTTTACACCAACATACTTTCTTCCATTATATACATAGATTGTTTTTGTTAAATAATATGGTACTATTACTGAACTTCTTTCTGTTGTCACTATTGTTGGTGTTGCTACTACATCGTAGTTTTGTAATTCTTTTGCTATATAAATCCCTTTCCATCTTGATCTAACCATTTTTTTTTTTCTTATCCATTAATCTTTGTTTTCTATGTCCTATTATTATATATCTTGATGATATTTTTTTCTTTTTTCTACTACTAACATTATATGCTATCTTTCCTGAAAAACTTTTCCAATGCATTCCCCCTTTTGTTCTTCCTCCATGTGGATGATCTACTGGATTCATTGCTAATCCCCGCACTATTGGTCGTATCCCTCTAAATCTACTTTCACTAGCTTTTCTTCTTTTTTTTATTTTTCTTTCTATATTTGATACTGTTCCAATTGTTGCATAACATTCATTTGATATTAATCTACATTCTTTTGAACTTAATTTCACTAAACTATATTTTTTATTATATTGTTTTATTATTAATGAACTTGTTCCTGCGGCTCTACTTATTTTACTTCCACTATTTTCAATTAATTCTATGTTATTTATTAAGATTCCTTCTGGTATATTTTTTATTTTCGTTGTATAACCTACTTGTAAAATTCCTTGTTTGATATTACTCGTTATAATTAATGATCCTACTTCTAATTTTGCTACACTGATTACATAAAAATAAATTCCTTCTTTTAATATACTACATAATGCTATATGTGCACTTCTATTTGGATCATATTCTATACGCATTACAAATAACCATTTATCCATCCATTTTTGTTTATAATGTTCGATATATCTATATTTTCTTTTTAAAGCTCCTCCTCTAGATCTTATTGCTATTAACCCTTTACTTCTACCATCTATTCGTCGTTTTCCACTATATAATCGACTTTTTATACCTCTCCAATTTAATACCATTTTCTTCTTTTTGTGGATCTTAATTTTCTTTCTACAAATGTTAATTTTTTTCTTTTATGTTTATTAAAACTTAATGCATATCTCACTTCTTTATATAATGCCCATTTTTCTTTTATTACATCCCCTTGTTTTTTTGATGCCTTTAAAAATTCTTCTACAATACTATTTATTAATGCAGCTCCTTTTTGTTTATCTAATTTTTTTACTAACCATTGTATTGCAAATTTCTCTCCTAATCTCGGCTCTAAATATTTTGGATATACAAACTCTTTTACTCCTCTTTTTTTTTTTACTACTCCCATAATTGGTGTCATTTTTACTAAGGTTTCTCTTACAAATTTATATGGATTTAAAATTCCAAGCGTTGTTAATCGATTCAATACTGTAAAATAGATTTTCTCCGCTTTTATGTATTTTCCTTTTCGCATAAATGCATTTATTAATCTTCTTTCAAACGTTTTTGGAAAATTTATTACCATTTATCCTATTTTTATCGCTTTTCCTTTTTTTGCTGCTACTTTTTCATTTTTTACTGAAAATTTTGATCTTCTATTTTTTCGTGGATATCTTTCTCCTATTTGAAAATCATAATGTTTTCTCACCATTCGATATTTTACACCTGGTAAATCTGGTGCTCTTCCTCCTCTTATTAATACAGTAGATAATTGTTGTAAATTATGTGGTCCAAAGCCTGGTATATACGCAATTACATTTCTTCTTTTATTTTTTAATTTTATGGAGACTTTTGCTACTTTTCTAATTGCAGAATTTGGCTTTTTTGGTTTGGTTTCATATACTCTTATACAAAATCCCTTTTTTTGGGGATACCCTGTTAATAGGGTTACTCTTTTTTTTTTTGGTTGTCTTGCTTTTCTATCCTTTATTTGGTTTATTGTAATCATTTAGTATTTTTATTAATTTTACTGCTCTCATCCCGGTATTCACTTGTAACATTTTTGTTAATCCTACTAATCCCGCTTCTTTTGTCGTTCCTACTTTTTCCATTTCCTTTTTATACTCTAAATATTGTTGCTCTCTTACTACTCTATAACTCTCTTCTTCATTGATTAACATTTCTAAAGGTAGTATTTGTGCTTCATAATTTTTTACATATTCTATTACCTTATTAAAAACTTCCATTGTTGGTGCTTTTATTAACACCATTGTGTTATTTAAGATAATTTCATTTACATTACTAAATACATTTTTTACTTGATTTGCATTTATATGTATCAGTTTTATTTTATGTTCTATTGCATATTTTCGTAACATATTATATTCTGCACCACTTAAGGACATTAATTGTCCTATAAAGATTGGTCCAGTACTACTAAAGCACTCTTGTATTTCTTTTAATTTTTTTTCATATTTATATCCTTTTTTATTTGGAGTCTTCTTCATTTATGCTTTTTTTATATATATTTTACACGATCTACACGTTCCTAATACTTCTAATACTTTCATTTTTAAAAATGCTGGTTCTATCTTTTCCCATTGTTTTTCTTCTTTATTAAATGTACTTATTAAAATAGCAATTTTAAAACAATCTTTTAATAATCTTTCTTTTTCTATATACACTTTTCCTCCCTTTGCTTCTTCAAACTCTATTTTATAATACTCCTTTAATATATTACTAATTTTTGGCATTTGAAGTTCAAAATAAAAAGCTTTCATTACATTTATCCATAATATTACTCGTAACGCCATCCCTGGTTCAAATAATTCTTTTGTTTCTGTATTGAAATCATTAAAGAATTCAATACTATTTATTCCATATTGTCCTAAATTCGGTCCTAATGGTGGTGTCATGGAGGCAGTTCCTGCACCTATTATTAATTTTAATCTTACTAAAATTTGTTTTTCTCGTACAATTGCTTTTTTTCCTGCTTGTTTTTTACTTATATATGTCATTTATTTGTTTTTGGTTATTCGTTTGCTTTCTTATTTTTTGCTTATTACGCCCTCCTTGTATTAAGCTCCCTTTTGTACTAACTTTAGTAGTTACAAAAGGCCCCGTCCCTAGTTTTTTCTTCTCTCGGCTACTTTTTTCTTAACCTTTCTTTGGTAGAAATAGGATTCGAACCTATGCGTCTTGCGACAAAAGATTTACAGTCTTCCGCTTTAACCACTCAGCCATTCTACTTTTTTTATTCTATCTGACTCGTTCTATTTAATATTTACTTAAAAAATTACTAACCTTAATGTAAGTTAATAATATTCGCAATATATATTAATGTTAATAATACGAAAACGTATGCTTGTAAAAATGCGATTCCTAATTCTAAGAACATAAATGCGATTACACAAATCCATGGTAAAATTCCAATAAAATAAAATTGCATTAAATATATAGCTGCTACACCTATAATATGAATTAATAAGTGTCCTGCTAACATATTCGCAAATAATCGAACTGCTAAACTGATTGGTCTTAAGACATAAGACATTATTTCAATGAAAACTAATAATGGTAATAACCATGGCTCAATTCCAGAAGGGACAAACATGTTTAAAAATTTAATTCCATGAATTCTAAATCCCCAAATTGTAATTCCAATCATTATTGTGATTGCTAAAGTAAATGTTACTAATAATTGTCCAGTAACAGTAAAACTTAATGGTACTAATCCCATTACATTTAAAGTTAATACAAATAAAAATAATGTTAAAATAAAAGGGAAAAATAAGATTCCTGGTTTTCCTACTTGTTCTATTATTAAATCTATTATAAATTCATATATCATTTCTCCTACGTTTTGCCAATTATTTTCTCCTATTAAGGTTGCTCTGTATAAACTTGCTTTATACATCCCTATTACAATAACCATTAGACATCCTAAATATACGGTTATTGTTGTTATTGATACATCAAAAAATCTTGTTATTATTATACAATAAATATCTATTTCAAATTGTTCAAATAATGATTTCATCATTTTCTTTTTTTATCTATCTACTTCTCCAAATACTATATCTTGAGTTCCTATTAATGTTACTACATCTGCTAATAAATGATCTTTCGACATCATATTTAATCCTTGTAAATGTAAAAATCCTGGTGCTTTTATTCTACATCTATATGGTTTTGCAGTGTCATTCGCTTTTAAATAAATTCCAAATTCTCCCTTTGGGGCTTCTACAATCGTATAATTCTCATTTGCTGGTATTATAAAACCTTCTGAAAAAAATTTAAAATGGTTTATACACGATTCCATATCTTTTTTTACAAATGCTCGATCTGGTGCCGTAATATTTACTCCTTCTAATTTTATTAACCCTGGTCTTAAATTATTTAATGCTTGTTCTATTATTGATAAACTCTGATACATCTCTTTCATTCTGATTATAAATCTTGTATATGAATTATTTTCTTCTCCTATAATTAATTTAAAATCATACTTTTCATAATCATCATATGGATAATTTTTTCTAATATCATATACTAAACCGGCTCCTCTTAATAAGGGTCCTGTAAATCCATAATTTAATGCTTCTTCTGCACTTACAATTCCTATATCGACTAATCGCTGTTTCCATATTCGATTATTTACTAACATATCTTCAATTTCTTCTAATCGTTTTCTATATTGAATTACAAATTTATAAATATCTTCACTAATATTCATTGGTAAATCAAACGCTACTCCACCAGGTCTTATATATGCTGCATGCATTCTTGCCCCTGATACTCTTTCATAAAATTCCATTAATTTTTCTCGTTCCTCAAATGCCCATAAAAATGGTGTTAAGGCTCCTACATCCATTGCATGTGTGGTCGTTGCCATTATATGATTTAATACTCGTGTTATTTCACTAAATAATACTCTGATTACTTTTGCTCTTTGTGGGATTTCTAATTCGATATCTAAACTATCTAAATATAATCTTTCTACTGCTAATGAATATGCATGCTCTTGTACATTCATTGATACATAATCTAATCGATCAAAATAAGGTAACGCTTGTGTATACGTTTTCCCTTCTATTAATTTTTCTGTCCCTCTATGTAGTAATCCAATATGTGGCTCCACTCGTACAACATTTTCACTTTCTAATTCGACTATTAATCGTAATACTCCATGTGCTGCTGGGTGTTGTGGTCCAAAATTTAATGTAAAATTCTTCATTACTTTTACTTCTTCAAAAATTTTACTTATATTTATCATTTTATTTTATTATATTTTCTAAATATACTTTTCTTTCATAGTCACCCCAGACTGCTCCAAAATTATAATTTCTATATTCTTGCATTAATTCTATAGGTTTATATATGATTTTTTTATCTACTACATCATAATATACTTCTAAGTATCCTGTTATTGGAAAATCTTTTTTTAATGGATATCCTACAAATCCATAATCTGTTAGTATTCTTCTTAAATCCGGATGTTTTTCAAAATATATTCCAAACATATCCCAAATTTCTCGTTCTAACCATACACTTGATTCATACAATGAACTTGTTGTTTCTATTATCCCATTATTTTCTACATACGTACTTAAATGTATTCGGCAGTTATTATATATACTATTTAATACATATATTATCTTAAACCGTCCGATCTTTATTTCTTCTATATTTAAACAATCTATACACACTATATCTAATAACATTTTACATTGGTATTTTGAGGATTCTTTTAAATATTTTAATACTGGTATTACTTTTTCTTTTTCTACTTGTATTTCTAAATATTTTGTTTTATACATCACTTTTTTTACTAATCCAGGAATACTCATTCTTAAGTTTTCTCCTAAATTTACCTTTACTTTTAATTCATTTTTATACTCTTTCATCTTTTTTATTTTTTTCTTCTTTAGCTCTTTTCTGTGCTCTCGATCGGACTCGAACCGATATTGGCCACATTATGAGTGTGGTGTTTTAACCTATTAAACTACAAGAGCGCTTACCAACACACTACAGGCTTGCACTGTATCTTTTTCATATAACGATAACTGCGATTATATTATAAAAGTGTACTAATTACTTGTGTTACTTGTGTTTTTCTCGTTTGAGACCAATCTTAGCTATGCAACTTTGACAGTTCGCTAACTCCGGGGATTTTACCTTCGTTTTATGAATATAATATTAAGAATGACATCATTAAAGCTAATAATCCTACAGCTTCTGATAATGCAAATCCTAACATTGCTAATTTAAATAATTCTCCTCTTAAGTTTGGATTCATTCCTACAGCTAAAATAAATGCTGCAAATACAATTCCTACTCCTGCTCCTGCTCCTGTTAATCCAATTGCTGCTAATCCTGCTCCTACTTTTTTTCCTAATTCTACTACGGCTGATGCTAATTCTAATTGTTCTACTTTTACTATATTTTTCATCTTTTTTTTTATTTTTTTGTTACTTTTTACTTTCGTTATAAATTTAAATTTATAACAAAGACTCCTTTTTTATGAAATCCTAACTTGGTAGCTAATTTCACTGTCACCTTTCACAGTATATATCTCCTTAAATGAGCTTTTTCTTCACGTTTATTAGACATATTTAGCTGCTTTCAGATTTTGTATAAACCACAGTCTACAAATTCACTACGATTATTCTACAACCTTCCCATTAAATTCCACTCCTTTTTACAGTTTAATTTTTGCTACTATACTACCTTTCTAGTGCTTTTAAATAGCTCTTAATATACATTACACGTTAAAAATAATTTTCTAAATTTAAATCCTCTTTTCCTTTACGTCTCCGGTTGATAGGAGTCGAACCTATACTCTTTAGTTCCCAAAACTAACACATTATCCAGTTATGCTACAACCGGAAAAGCTACTTAATTATTCGTTATTGAATTTCTCGATAATTTCTAATTGTTGTTTTATATTCTCGTAATACTTGAGAATTAATATCTTGTCGTCGTCGTTCATTTAAATGTCTTTTTTCAATAATTAAATCTTCTGTAATATATATTACTCCAACCATACCTATTAATAATATTATACATGCCATAATAAACCAAATACTTTGACTTCCATAAATTACATTACTTCCCATTGTTCTAATATCCGTTGTTTCTGTAAATAGTGTATAATAATCTAAATAAGTCGGTACTACTGTTAATTGATTACTTTCTGATGTTGTTAAAAACATACTAAAATCTGCTATTACCTCCTCTTTTAATCGTATATTATAATTTGTTATTAAAATTCCAATAATACCGATTACTCCTATAATACCTACTATCATATAAATATTATATTTTCGCATAGTTTCTTGAATTTCAACAATATTAATATTTATCATCATTACAATAAATAAAAATAATACTGCGATTGCTCCGACATTCACTAAAATATAGATACACGCTAAAAATTCCATTTCAACCGTTAATAATATTGCAGCATAACATCCATAAATTACGATTAAATTTAAAATCGAATATATAGGATTTACACTTCGTAAAATAACAAGTGTACATATCATAATAATTCCTAATAATATAACTAATAATCCTAATGTACTATCCATTTATTTTATCATTAATACCATACTTATTACTCCAACATATATTAATAATGCAAAAGGTAATAAAGATTTCCAACCTAAATACATTAATTGATCATATCGATATCGTGGTAATGTTGCTCTTACCCAAATAAAACTACATAACATTGACACTCCTTTCATTGCTCCTAAAATTTTATTATGAACAATACCTCCTAAAAAGAATACTGCTAATAATACACTCATTAAAATTATATTTGCATATTCTCCTAAAAAAAATAATGCAAATCCTGTTGATGAATATTCCACATTATATCCTGAAACTAATTCTGCTTCTGCTTCTGGTAAATCAAATGGCGGTCTATTTGTTTCTGCTAATGCACTTATAAATGCTAATAAAAATCCTGGGAATAATGGTACTATAAACCAGATTTTGTTTTGATTTTCCATTATCTCTTGTATATTTATTGTTCCTGCATATGTAATTATACTTAAGATTATTAATCCTAAAGCTACTTCATATGAGACCATTTGTGCTGCTGATCGTAATCCTCCTAAAAATGCATATTTAGAATTACTTGCCCATCCTGCTAATATTATTCCATATACTCCTATTGATGAGATTGCTAAAATAAATAACACCCCACTATTTATACTTGCGAATACACTTTGTACTCCTACTGCCATTACACTCCATAATACGATACTTATTGTAAACGTTAATATTGGTGCTATTGCATATATTATTTTATCGGCTACTATTGGTATTATTGTTTCCTTTAATACTAATTTTAATCCATCGGCTAATGGTTGTAATAATCCTACAATTCCCACTACATTTGGTCCTCTTCGTTTTTGCATTGCTGCCATTACTTTTCTTTCTAACAACGTCGCAAATGCAACTCCTATTAATAATCCTATAATAACTATTAAACTTTTTAATCCTCCTTCTAATACTATTTGTAATATATTTTTCATTTTTTTTTGGTTATATATGTCTCTAAACTACTCGACGGGCCGCCTTTGGAACGTTTCCAAAATGTCCTCTGAAAGACTCGAACTTTCATTAATAACTTAGAAGGCTACTGTTCTACCAAATTGAACTAAAAGGACATTTACCCTTGAGTGTATTGGGAATCGAACCCAAACCATGCAGCTTAAAAGGCTGACGCAATACCATTATGCTATACACTTTATTAAATTCTAAACTAATTGGCAAGAGTAGGACTCGAACCTACACCAATGGGGCATGAGCCCAGCGAACTCCCATTATTCGATCTCGCCTTTCGGGGAAAATTGATTCCAGCTGCTGGTTCCCCAACAGCTACCGTGTTACGACTTTACCCCAGTTAACCCCCTATTGTTTGATAACTTACTTTCAACCTTCTCCATTCTAATTGCTCTTCCTTAAGAGCTGTTTCCCTAAAAACTTTAAATAGTTGACTTAATAAATTATCTAAAAAAGGGTGAATTCCGTGGTGTGACGGGCGGTATGTACTAACTTTGACAACGATTCACCGAAGCCTTATGATCTACGATTACTAGCAATTCCGCTTTCATTATTTCGAGTTGCAGAAATAAATCCAAACTAAGATTCCTTTTTAGGTTTTGCTCCAGCTTGCACTTTCGCTTCCTTTTGTATGAACCATTGTATTACATTTCAAGCCCCTCCTATAAGGGCCATACTGACTTGACATCTTCCTCAACTTCCAATGTGATTATAAGAGTCACACTCTTCTGTTCATTTCTCGATTTTATTCTCGTAAGTGAACTTAAGGATTTCGTTCGTTTCACAAATTAATGTTACACCTCACAGCACGAACTGACGACAGCCATGCAACACCTGTTAGACAATTATTTTAATAGAACCTGTTCTGCTTCTATTCTTTACATTTTTTTCATGCTTTATATTTGTCATTCAATGGAGGGTAAGATTTTTCGTGTTGTATCAAATTAATGAACATAATCCACTGCTTGCGCAAAGTTCCGTCAATTACCTTGAGTTTCAATCTTGCGATCGTACTACTCAGGCGGAGTGTTTAACGTGTTAACTCAAATACTTTTTATAATATTGAACACTCATCGTTTACTGTCTAGACTACTCGGGTCTCTAATCCGATTTGCTCCCTAAACCTTCGTGCTTCAGTGTCAGTATCGCTTGTAAATTGCCTTCGCCAACTGTCAGTCGAGCTAATCTAAAACGAATTTTACCTCTAAATTAGCCCTTCTAAATACATCATCTTTACTCTAGGCTCTTTGTTTGTATTATACCCGCACCTCTTTTTTCAGTGCTTTTCATATAAGACCTTTGAGAACCCACCTACGCACCCTTTACGCCCAATCCTTACGAATAATGCTTGCCCCCTCCGTATTACCGCGGCGGCTGGCACGAAATTAGCCGGGACTTATTCTTTAATTTTTGTCATTTTCTTCCTTATCAAAAGAGGTTTACGCTTTACGTCTTCCCTCACTCAGTGTAGCTGGATCAAGCTTTCGCTCATTGTCCAATATTCCTTACTGCAGCCTCATAAGAGTTTGGTCTTTTTTTCAATACCAATGTGGATGATCATTCTCTCGAACCACCTACGAATCTCTGGCTTGGTAAGCCTTTACCCCACCAACTACCTAATTCGACATACGCTTTTATAATAACGAGTCTTACTTTTTTTCAAGTTCCTCTTTCTTTTTATTCTGTATTTCTTTTTTTATTTCCAGATTTATTATTAAAATTCATATGCATTACTCACCTTTTTGCTACTCTATTTCTCAATAGCGTTCAACTTGCATGTATAAAGCCCACTTTTAGCATTCATTCGGAGCCAGAATCAAACTCATATTTTTTGTTTTTTAATACTTATATATTTAAATTTTTACTCATCCTCTTTTTTCGTCTTAGATTGGGGTCGAACCAATGACCAATAAGTTAACAGCCTACTGCTCTACCAACTGAGCTACTAAGACCGTTTTCGCTTTTTTACGCGATAACCAGACTTGAACTGATATTTATGCTTTTGCAGAGCACAGTATTCACCAATTATACGATATCGCGACCTCTTTTTGGAAAATTGACCCCTTTCTCACCCCCCGAAGACTCTAAATTTAAATTAAAACTTTTCTTTACTTTTAATCTTACTTGCTTTCTTTTCAGTTTATAAACCACTTTTGGAGTACCTAAATATTTAGTATACTTTTAACTGAGTACTTTCAAAACTGCGACTCAAAACACAAAAAGTACACTTTTAATATCCGGGGTATCCTTAATTAGTACTAAACAAATGTAGCATACGCCTTTTCTTTATTGCTCTGGGGGATTATATCGATCGTAATTATTAGCATTTGCATCAAAATCTTCTTCTATATTTCGCCCTCTATAATTCAAATTCAGTTGCTTGGTACTCTCGTAGACTAGCCAGACACTTATTTCTATAAATCGTGGCATTAATCCTAGTAATGCTTTTACCTTGATATTGTGTATCATAGCTTACGAGCTCACTCATGGATAGATTTAAATCTATTGCCGCCTGTAACTGATCTAGCGCTAACTGCTCAGCCACTTCTGTCATTCGCCAGTCAACTTCTGCTCGAAGATAGTTCAATTCAATAATATTTAGTTGTAAGGCATCAGTCACTTGGCTCGTTAAAGCCACCACCTCACTATGGGCTTGCGCACTCGTTGAGAGCTCAATCAACGCGCCCACCCTAATGCTGTGCTTACTTAGCGGCTCAATATATGTATGTACATAATCGACAAGCGCGTCCAATTTATCTTGACACTTTATATTAGTAGCAATTGCTGGATTCTCCGTTGCCTCTAAAAGCCCCTCCGTAGCAAGTTGTCTTACAGCCTCCATGTTAATTATAGCTTTCTCTTGGATTATCGCCTCTTCTACAATAACCTCCAATCTACTAACAAAGCCCTCTAATATATTCAAGTAAGTCTCTACCTGCGGGATATCCGTTCTCATCTTTACATAAGATATTATGTTTATTA